TACAAATGTCTATATTCTTTTAAACTACATCCTTATTATGTGGAAATTAACAATCGGACAACATAAATAGATTCCCCATGTCCTTCTTATTGCTAGGAGACTTAAACATTGAAAAGATAAATTTATAGCCTCAATTACTCAGTCTATTGAAAACCTGATGTTATTTGTGACTTATGAATGAGTTGCTTATAGACTTAGATTATATATGTATGTATTTATATATCCATGAAAAACTTTTGCATGGGTGATTTTGTAGCTATTGCCTTTCTTCTGTTTTATTTACTAAATAAAGCAAACAGAAAATAAGTTGAATACTGAACCCACTGCTTACTCTCACAAGTGGTGTAGAAGTTTCATTGTAGATTCAGTACAGCATCTTTAACCAGGCTTTGGATATTAGGTTAGAGGCAGGGAGCTCTCTGTCAATATGTTTCATAGAACTAAAGTAGAATTGACTGTCCCCCTTCCAACTGAAGGCCTATTTTGGGGGCAGGGGTGGATTCATATCAGGGAGAGGCAACCTGGTGTTCTCCAGATCTTTTGAAGTGCAACTTCCATCAATCCAACCATCTTGGCCAAGGACGAGGATTTGTGGAAACTGTAGGCTAAACAATCAAGAGGACCACAGGTTGTCTATTCTGGCCCCTACTGAGGTCAATCTCAGTCAAAGTTCTCTGCAAGAACATATTCTGTGTGCATATGAAGCTTTATCCTTCTTACAACCCTATTTCTTTCTGTTTACAGGGAACTGTTGTGACTTCCTGCCTTACAGTACAGCACTGAAAAAGATTATCTGCTCCCTCCCCACTGTCTGAAGTGGTCCGGTCCATTCAGTGCAGTTGTAGGTCAGGTTCCAACACCTGAAGAGGCAAGGGTGGTTCAGCTGAGCTCACTGTGCTTATCTGAGCAAGAGCCAGCTGGTTTCCAAGCCGAAGGGAAAAACACCAAATCTTTACGTGTTTGCACACCTTCCAGTTGAAATCCAATGCACACCTACCCATAGTTAAATAAACTCTTGAGGAGAAACGTATAGGCATGTGCTTCTTGTTTCTCCAAACATTTAAAGGATCTTCAGGGAAGAACCAGAAACCATATATTTACATAATTGTTTGCTGCAGGTCAGAAAAGTCAGAGTGGTCAAGCTTTTTTCTCGTTTCATGATTGCTACAGCAGGTAGACCCGATTCTAAGGAACACAACTGTAATGGAAACATATGGGTTTATATCTGATACTAATTCTTTCTCTTTGTAAAGATGCCTAGTTCCGAATTCGCAATGCAAACCTACAGAAACAAGCTCAGGATTATGTCCTATTGAGTTCAATGGAATATTGACTCTGGACACAGAACTTCATGGAGATGTTTTTGAGAAACTAGCCAGTTTTTATAATATGTTCCAATTATGTTTAAATGCATTATGGCTATGCACTTGAATAGCGGAGATGGCAAATTACAACATGTGTCTCCTAACATCATCATGCAAATGCCCTGAATGATGTACTTGCATCGTTTTGCACCAACAGGTAAAATGATGCAAGTACATTATTTGTGTCATTTGCATGACAAAGTCTTGAGGCAGTCGCTGTCATCTGAATGTCATCGGAGCCTCTACTACAGTGTTGTCCAAACTTGGCCACTTTAAGATGAGTGGACTTCAACTCCCAGAATTCCCCAGC